GGGAAAGGACAAGCACAGCATGAGATGGGTAACACACCAGGGATAGGGAAATCTGGAATGGAGGGGTGGCTGACAGGAGACTGGTCCACAGGGTGGCTGTGGGAGGTGGGATGGGAGATGTCCAGTTCTTGCAGCAGTGCAGGCACGAGCCTGGCTTTTGAGAGAGGACTTTTCAGAAGTTTTCAGAATCAGCAGCTGGAGTTACATCTTCTGACACCTTTGTAGCCTCCACAGGGCACTCATGGACATTGCAAAATGCTTCTCTTCTGCTTCCCCTGCCTCCTGCCCCGCTCCAAGAGGCAAGTCATGCTGGTCCTGCCAGCCAGTTGCCAGTAACTACTCACCAGACAGCTCCAGTTCCTGGGGACCAGATGAAAAATCCTGTTCCTGCAGTCACAGCTGTGCCATATGCTGCTGAGCCAGTGCTGTTCTCTGCCTCAGAGATGGACACACTTCACACAGTGACAGTAACACTCTTTGAGATGAAAATAAGGTTTACAAGAGGAAGTAAGTTAATTTATAATTAACTTGAGATGCCTGAGCCCATGACAAGGAACACTTTTAACCAGCAGCCAGATGGCTTTGTGGGCTCTGTTCCTTAAACCATTCATCAGCTTTTCATCTCAGAGACTGTCAGTCAAACAGCAGGCCCTGGAAATTATCCTACCATCTCTCCAGGAGGGTATTTTTGTATAGAGGTCTTGCTGGATTTCCAAAGTTTATGCAAGTAGCAAGTTGCCAGACTTTCTTTACTAAGGGAATGTAGGACAGAAACTTCTGTTTTGCATGGAAGACACCTCTTTAGGGTTGCATATTTAAGATCTCTTTCCCTTCCTTATCTAAAAGAAAATGAAAAACTAATTACTACTTTAACAGAAATGAGAAGCTTTTCTTTGAGCCCCCTTGTGTCTGCTACAGGCACAACTCTCCAGGTCTTTGCTCTTTGGTGTGTATGCCTTTGTAACAAGCTCTTTCACAGCAGTGCTGTTTCCTTGACCTACTGATGCTAGAGATGTATTCTAGTGAAACTGCTAGAGATTTCCTCTTCTGTATACAAAATGAACATTCTTCCTAGGGGAAGATGACAGCAATGAGCATCTTCTGCTTTGCACCTCTACACAGATGCATGTGAGAATGCTGACTTCAGACATGAAGAATTTGATGCCCCATGCAGTGTTGGCTCCAGAAGGTCAGATTTTAAGGCCCATGGGAATCTTGTCTTCCCACCTCCTGCATGGCAGAAGGCAGAAAATTCTCCACATGATTCCTGTATTTGAGGCGAACTCACCTGCACAGAAGAAGTTGCCCAACTATTCTGATGGTTACAATGTCTTTATCATTATGAATAATTTTCTCATTAAATTGTCATGGGATGCTACTCTGCTTGGTCTGCTACACTGAAGAGCCATCAAGTTCTGTGTTTTGATCATCATCTTACTACTGGAGAGCTCAATTTTTCTCTCCATGCCTTTTCAAACAAAATGGATACTATAATGGGTTTGGGTTTTTCTGTTTTTTTATAGAAACACTTTATTGCTGCAGTCAATAACCCTGTGTATCACACACAAATAACCAATTACAGTTTAAGAAACTAAAAATAACTCTGCAAGTGGTAATACTGAGAAAACGAACATACATGAAAGGATACAAAACTATACATTAAGTTACTAGAAATTTAATAACTAAAAAATTCTGCAGAAGTATGAAGTGTCTTGTATAAACGTTATACAACACATGCCAGTGTAAAGTTCTTCAACATTATACAATTACCTATCTACAAATGTTTTACCTAAATACAAGATTAGCTGCAATTTTTAAACAGTTATCTTCTATACAAAGACAAGTGCTTTCAGTACTTCATTGGAATATACAGACACTGCAATATCTCAAAACTAAAAAATAATCACAAAATAAAAGGTCCCACTTAAAAATTTTCTTTGTGTATCTAATACAACACTAAGGAAATCCAGCCAGCAATATCCTTGCTTTTGTACTTGCCGTGTTTCACCCATATTTGAGAGGGACCCAACCCAGAGTCACTGACCTCCCCCCTTTCATTGCTGGCCAGTCTCCAGAGCAGACCACACCAAAAATCTGTATCTTAATACACATCAGCTTTAGGAGAAATTTGGGCCTGGTTCCCACTTTGCAACAGATACATACTCTGCCATACACAGGGCAGAAGCTACCAGCTCCTGTGAATGGCCACATCCATGCATCACTTCAAAGGTTTCCCATGAGTGGCAGGCCAAGCAGCCCTTCCTTACAGCACCAAGTGGGATTCATGGTTATGACTGCTTCCCAGGAACTCCCAGGTGCAGCACAGAGCCCCAGTGCTTCTTTAACCCCTCACAGGCTCATTCAGTCTTCCTTGAACGCCTCCTTGCTGAAGCAAAGCCAATCTCAGTGACATTCAACCAGACGGAGCCATCCCAGGGTCTGGCCATCTCTTCAGAACACATTTTGAACACCACTCTCATTCCCCAAACACAGGCTTTACAGTTGAACAAAAGTCCTGAGAATTCACAGGAATTTAGTATCTCATCAGCTCTTACATAGGATCAACCTCCTGCAGCACACACCTGTATTTTTAACATAATGCATGCTCATGACCTGGCAGATTCATCACATGTGACACAGCAGAGGAATTTCCTTGGCCCAGATGGTGTCTTTTTGGACAGGAGTGCCATCAATAGAACGGGGTCAGTTATCTGGGGCATTGGACATATCAGCAAAGGCTCTGGCAATCTAGGGAAGGGATTGTGGTAGATGACATTAAGCCTATGCTCCCTCCTACTTAAATTCTGGTCTCAGGAATATCTCAGGGTTACCCAAGCTAACTTTGGCCAAGGTACAAGGACCAGGCTTCTATTTCAGTCATTTCAAAAGCTGCCAGAAGGAAGTACTGGAAAGCCTGATCTAACAGGGGGTGGTTGTTCCCCTTACTGACACCTGAACACCTGAAAGGACAGAGCTCACCTGAGCTGGCATCAGTGCCTCACAGCTGGAAGCTGAAAAAAATTCAACAGTATCTTCTTGAGGAGAAAGAAGAAAAAAGCACCATTCAGCCTTCTCAAACATTTGATGGCACCATGCAGAAGTGGAGAACTACATCTCCAGAAGCCCACCATTAACACCAGCAAGTATTAGGATGAGAAGTGTAACCAGCATAAATGAAACCCCCGGACAGATGGATCTCTTCTGCAACCTCTCCTGGTATGAGCATTCCTAAGCAGTATAAAGAGTTTAAATCGGCATTAATTTTCATTCAGAAAAGACCTGCTGTGAGAGGGAATTGCTAGCAGCAACACTGACTAAAACATTTTCATTCACAAATATTTTTCCCCAAATGATTTTGCTGGAGATGATTTTTCTTTACAAGTTAAGATACTCAGGGGCACAGCAAAAACCTTCAGTAACCTGAATACACTGAACACTACCTGGCACATTCCACATGCAGCTTCCAAAACACCAAATGAGCTTTTGCAATGTTTCCCCCAGAATCACATACAACAGTGACTGAAGCAGAAGCATCACGTTATGGTATGCTGTGTCGGCGATGTCAGAACATTGCTCACACACCAGAGCCTCTCAGGTGTGAGCTGGAGAACAGCCAGGTTTCAAACCAGGACTGGTCCATCTTCATTTCACCCACCGGCCACAGATGGGATGAGAACGTGCACAGCATCGCTTGGCAGCTGATCCTGTGCATCCTGCAGCTGTAACGTGAGCATCTTGCAGACGGGCAGGCCTTGTGCACTTGGGCATTTCAGAAGAACATCGTGAAGGTGTGCAAGACCTGATACTTAACCCACCTGAGTTTATCTAGTGAAACTTTCACAGAACAAAAGAGAAAACAGAACGAGACAGTGCATTATCTGGCTCTCACAACAGCAGAGGATCACCCACAGCAGAGTTCAGGAAAGGTCTTGAGTAATTGCACTTTAAATTATGGCAGGCACAGGCAACAAACTCTGCATGTGTATGGTCACAAAGACTGCCCTGATACTAGCAGGGTATGCAGGGTTTGTCTGCCTGTATCACTTAAGCATGGGACATCCTGACAGCTAGTACAGTAAACAAATCCATGCCAGTGCAGCTTTACCAGGACTGCCCAGAGGTCTGGATGTTTTAACACGTCTCAAGAACAAGGTACCAAGTTGTTCATGAAGATCACAGACAGCAAGCTTCAAGAATGAAGTGACAGAGGCACACGTGCTTTTCCTCTAACAGCTTCTAGAAACCACTGGGATGAGTGTTCTCTTACCAGAGTCCCTTCTCTGCCTTCTATTAAAATATTGATTTAGAAATAAATTAATGTTGCATTTTAAGGAAAAAATCCCTGATCTCTTACTGTTATATTTTAAGAAGTCTTAAAGCAGCTGCTTTTACTATGGAAAGAATGTACCCAAAATTGTACTTCAAAAATACTACGTGAAACTTGAACTAGAGCTCAGAATTTAGTTCACTATCTCAACAAGTAAACAGAAATTTTTACCTGAGAAGTCCAGGCAACTCCTACTAAAACCAGCCATATTATCATCATTGACTTTACAGAGATTTAGACAGGGCTCAGGTAGGGAAAGTCAGCTTTCAAATGCAGAGGCCTCATGTGCTGACTTTTTGTGGGGCTTCGTTTCTGCTCCAGTCACACTGAGACTTTGGTTAAATGAGGGCTTAAAGCTGGCCAGTGGTGCAGTGAAACAGACTGGACAAACAATCGACTGCAGACACTCCAGGCTTTGGGCAACTCTGTCTAAAGCCTTGCAAACAGATTTTAAAGCTGTCCCTCTCTTTGCATGAAAGCTGACTGATTAAAAATCCAGTCCCAAATTCAAAAGCACAGACATATACTATTCTCTGACCACACAGTGCACCACATCAAGCAGGTATTTTTAAATTTATCCACTTAATGTGATATTTACTTCCTAGACTTGTATGTCAGTATCTCCTCTGACAACATCAAATTCTTGGGTAATTCACATATGACACAGCACTAAAGAAAGAAAACCAGTTTCAGCTGTATTGACTAAGTTTCCTTTTTTCTGTAACAGCTCACATTTTTATCAATATAGCAACAAACCCTTCGCCAATGGTTTGGAATGAAAGTTACATTAGGTATATATGTACAGGTATGTTGATGGTCTGACCTGTTGGGGAAAAAAAGAATCAAAACCAATCCCCAAAACAGAGCACTGAAACCACTGAAAACAGACATTGTACACATCCACTACTCCTCATATACAAGTCACAAGTGCAATATCCTTTGAAGAAAATTGCTCCTCAAAGGAAACCCAAAGAGGCAGAGTTTTTTAGTGTTATGTTTAGTAAGCTAATGTGGGTATATGTTGGAAATCACAGGCTGAAATTTTTAAAATCTTTTTCGTAAGGCAAGAGGTTTATGTTCCAGAAGAAAAGACGGGGTAAAGAATGAATAAATGTTTCAAAAATGACACATTCTTTCAAGTTTCATTCTCATTTGACATACATATCACAAAATAAAGATTTTTAAAAGTGCTATATGCTTTGTAAGTCTCATCGCAATATGTAAAGCAAAATTTTACACCTGCTGCCTAAGACACAATGTTAGTGGCAGATTAGTCTCTCTCTCATTTCTCTCACTGTCTGGGACAACCTCCTTCATCACACAAAAAGAACAGACCAACCAACCAAGCCCACACTACACATCCTCCAGAATCACTTAAGAGCCATGTTCTAAAGTGACACTCTCCGTGAAGTTGATGACAGCTCGCTGGCGGCTTCCTTGATACCAAACCCAAGGCTCATTCTACACAATATCCTGTGGCTCTTTGATCAGCCAGTACGAGACACAAAATGTGGAGAGGTATGCAACCATGATGACATTGACAGATATGCCTAAGGGATTTTAAAAAATTCCAACAAAAATACAAACGTAAAAAATTCATCCGCCAGCCTGCAGCTGTTTGCAGATTTTAAAAAGGTAGAGCAGTTTGCAGTAAACAATGATATTCAAATCTTCAAGGACATACAGAAACACCCCTTATACCTAGCAATCAGACATGAAGGATTTCTGCAGCACAGTCTTCTGGCTCTGTGTAATGTGAAGAGTTTGTGTCTGAATGGTGAACCCCAAACATTTCTTTACTTTCGAAGTTTGGCTCCATTAGTGCAGGTTTTTCAAAAATATTCTTTTTGCTAGTTTCTGGGCAGTTTTGTACATATATTACTCGATTATAAGCTTTAAGTCTCTTCCACAGCTGTACGTACACCTTGCATTGCACATACATGAACAGAAGTCCTCCAGTGAAACCAATAGCCACAACTACCAGCTTAGTCCAAAATGGCCACTCTAGAATACCTGGAAGAAAGAAAATAAAAAGAACTAAATTCATCTCACAGACTGCCAGTCAAACAGCAGGCCCTGGAAATTATCCTACCATCTCCCCAGGAGGGTAATTTTGTATAGAGATCTTGTTGGATTTCTGAACTTCATGTAAGTAGTTTAATTGACTACAGCCAGACTTTCTTTAGCTGGACTAAACTGGATCTTTCAAAAATGTACTGTAAAGAAGCTGTCACAGAGTTTGGGTCATGCAAACTATTCTGATTTTGCAATTTTTCCTGTCTGGCTTTTTTTTCCTGTCTGGCTTTTTTTTCCCCTCTTCAAGTCAAACATACAGACTTCTGCTTCACATATCACATTCTTACCCACCACAGAAAAAAACAAAACAACTGATTTTCTGTGTCTGAGCCTTGATGTAGTACAATCACAGATCCAAGGCAACCACTCATAATATGCTTAGGGCCTTTAACACCTGTTTTTAAACCAAGACTGGATCAAATTATGAAAGGGATTCTATGGCATGGTTTCCTCTTCATAGCAGAGACTCAACTCAGTGACCCAACAAGTCTGTTCCACTCTGTGATCTCACAGTACATAGAGACATAAAGGAATGATTGTTACCATACAGCTTGACACGTTTGCTAAGCAGATGAGGAAAAATTTATCAGCATCATACCCAGTAATTTGTAACTGAACTAGAGCATCTCCTCTGATAGAAAACTGCAAGTGCTGGAGATGCTGAAACCTTCCAAGCTTACCCTCTGTCCTTAAAAATTACCACCATCACTTTGCCTAAATTTGACTAGTTTGAACATTTAGACAGTGGATCTTGTTATATTTCTATCAACCAATTTTAAATTAAAAACTATTAATTTTTTAAATTTTCCACATACATAGGTCCTGTATTCATCTAGCCTCTTTAAAATAAGTGCCATCACAAGATAGATATGAAACTACACTGAATCACTAAGGCTTTTCTAAAATCGTTTCTTTCCAACTCTTCAAAGTTTTAACCAAGATACAGGCTGGTTATTTGGAAATGCACGGTAGTGTGGGGGGAATGAAAATATTTTAGTACCAAAATACAAAGGATATTGCAGCCCTACTACTGGTGAAATCCCACCGTGATTCATATCTGACCCTCTCATTCAAAGGTGAGTGGTCTGATGCTGTCTGTAGGCACTGAAAGCACATGCTTGCCCCTGAGTGGACATGAATATATATCCACACACGTTTCCTGCATCCCCCGCTCATTACAGCACTTCCTGGATTTAGAATCCAAATGAAAGGAGAAAAAGAAAGCACTACAATATGTACCAAATATTCACATAATTTCTCCTAGTTATGTTCATCCAATATATGTATCAGTTAAAATAACCTGAAGACAATAAATCTTTGAAAACATATCCTTTTCATTATCATACGGAAACTTTACACTTTTGAAAGGCCAATAATGTTCACTGTTCATGGAAGAAATGGGGGTGGATGGAACAGAAACTAAGAGATTTCATTGAAAGCAGCTTCCTGACTGAAGTTATGAACAATCCAACTATAGCCTAAATGAGAAATGAGAGGATAACTTTTTAATTTCAAGTGATTCTGCTTTGAAGAGACTGTAACAGCCCTGTGGATCTACAGGTTTATTAATACTCAGCTACCTCCCTAAAGGACACTGTTCAATCACTAACAAAACATCTTCCACCTGCAAGTCCAGTTGGCATGCAGTACTCTGTAAGCAAGGACAGCTTGCCTTCTAACAGCTTCCATCCATTCTACTCCCACCTTCAGGCTCAGCTGCCTGAGAACAGTTTTGTGACAGCTGCAAATCTGCAGCCCAGCATACCTGAGTAAACACATGTCACCTTGGTATGTTTACTGCTGACATACTAAAGAAAACCTTGTACTTGTGCACTGAGGTGGCAGCCCTCGGTAAGATTGCAATGCATCTCATCTCAGTTGTGCAAATTGGAGTCCTAATATTCAACATGAATTTCTTCTGCTTCAAGTACAATCACTCATAATAAGTTCTCCCAGCCTGACATGGCTCTCACTGATGACTAACCACCCCACAGACGACTGGGTGGAAAGAAAATCCTGTTGATTTACCTCAAAGATTTCAATTTAGGTTCCTCTTACTTCTTCTCTTTTCTAAAACAGTGCCAGTTTTGCCCAGTTTAAAGGTAGTCATAGCAGCAAACAAATGCTTACATCCTTATCTGCAAATTTAGACCTAAATTTGCTGAGGCAGTGCAATTTTGTGTCTGGCTACAGTGGATTAGCTCTCATATCCATGAATTTCACAAGTGCAAACTAAATTGACTTGAAATAGATTTAAAAAGTACCCACAGATTAATTCACTGGTTAATTTACTGATTTAACTAAATCATTTTAGAACTGTGCTTTTAAACCAACCCAACACCAGGGTAAAGCCGACTAGTTGAAATTTAACACTTATGTTTCACATCCTCTCTGCAATCAGGATATATAATTATTCCAAGAGAATAAGTAGGAAGATAAACAAGTAACATACCGGTAGTTTGTCCCTGTTTAATCTCTTCAGCAGTCCTGTCTATGAGGACATAGAGAGACCACACAACGCAGGTGATGGCAATGATGTGGAATGTTACAGAGCACATGATCTTCCTCCTTTCACTGGCTGTCATCTGCAGCTTCTCCCACTGGCAAGAAACCAGGAACCAGAGCAAGAGATTAGGAGTTTATTCTAGTTACTAGAGAGTATGAAAAGAGAACATCGATAAGAACAAAAGCCAGGCAGGAGACCAACTTCCTCCTAACAAGGATTTTAAAAGTCAGATGGCATCACTGCTTTGGGCACTGCATGTGTGTGGTGGCTGGCAGCTCACCCTGCTGTCACAGGAGCCATGCTGTGACACAGGGGACTTGAGTGCCCAGCTCCCACCCTGAGGCTCAGCAGGATGCCAGCACACCCTGCTTACCCATCCACACAGGGGCAGCAACAGCACAGAGGGGCCCAAGCAGTGCTGCTCCTTGCTGTGTTCCCCACTCAGAGCAGGTACCCACAGCTGCAGGTGAGCATCACAAGTGGTAGTGGGTTCCCTTGCTCAGGGAGGCATTCAACGGAAGAGTGGAAGTAGCACATGATTCAGCTGACCAGGCTGTGTAAAGACACCTCACAGTGAGCTCTCAGAGTCCCATGGCTGTTCAGCTCTCACCTTCTGCCTCTGGAGGTTTCATTCAATCTTTACATATATTAAACATCATTTAGAGCAGTGACACTCACACTTTATTTTCAGTGTTTCAAGGGCACTTAAATACATATGCCCTAAGAATACACAGTAGAATAGGGGTGACAGCTTTTCTAAGTGAGAGGATGCAGCAAATTAAATCCCCAGATCTGCATTTATCAATAATGCTTATATAGCCCAAAACAAAGCCACAAGATCAGCCCAATGTACTTTCAGAAAGATATAAGGAAACTAGGTAATTATTACAGATGCTTTTAATATTCCAGACATACCTGGGACATCCAGAAGCTGTTTTAAACTTCTTTTCTGTAATTTTGCCTATGTGTATGATGAAAGTTTTTGTATGTGAGACACACATCCCTCAGCATATCTGCTTGGAAGAGAGTTATGCCAGGCTTTTCTCACGCTTTCACAAAATATATGCTGGGACATATCTCATGCATAAAAAGGTGCATTTGCTGTCTCATAGAATAATTTGTAGAAAAAGAGGACTTCAAAAAGGAGGCATAATGTGGAAGGGGGAGAGGATGACCTGAATGGTACGATTGAAATCATCCATTATGTTGAATTATTGCTTCCACTGCCACAAAAACGAGAATGATTGAAACATGAGACAGAGAGAGACTTTGTGATCATCTCTGTGCTGCCAACAGACACATCTCTTTGTCCAATCCAAGCTACATCTCCAGTTATGTGGGCATCCAAACCTCATCCTAAGAATTGAGTACTTCCAGGAACGGCACAGAGTCACTGTACTAGAAAAGTCCCTTTTTTCAATCATTTTAGAAAAAGATTGGACAAAATATTCCCTTTGCATGTTGTATTTTAAATAGAAAACTGCTTTTGCTTCCATACAAAGGTGTTGCCTTTTGATAGAAAGTACAAATTAATCAAATTCTTTTTGCCAAAAAACAACCATGTTAAATCTATTTGCAAATGCTTTTTACAGAGCCTAGAGGACCTGTGCTTTGACTAATTTAAAGTTCTCTTTTCTGTTCCACAGCTTGGGCTCCTCTGCTGGACAATACCTCCTGCTGGCTACACAGTCACAAAAACAGCTTGCACCACCTCACTGCTTCAAGAGATATGACTGCAAAGCAAAAGAGGAAATATTCTGCCAATTGCACTAGCCCAGAGAATCTAGGTCCCCACTATATTATTCTGATGACACAGCATGTGGCATTTCCCACTTAAAATAGTCAGCAGTTCTGGACTTTTCAAGTGTTGTTAAAACAAAGAAAAAAGAACAGCAGAAAATTTAGAGTGAATGTATCTCTGTTTCATTGACGTTTTAAAATTAAGCATCTCTCTTGTCTGCCCTCATGTTCATTTGAGCCATGACACATTTTGTTCTCACCCTCTTCCCTTTGTAACTTAGTATTTGAACAGCCCAATGCTGCAATAAAACCTTAAGATACCAAGGAAGTTTAATTCCATTTTTACCCTACAGACAAGGAGAAGCCCTATTATTTGTCCCATCCTGATCATACTCACCAGTTCTGGACTGTTTTCTCCTGACTGGAAGGCTACCATAAGGGCTGAGTTGAAGATACAGAGGCATCTTATCTTTTTTCTGCAGCTGAACCTCTAAAAGGACTCTTTAGATGTATTTGAGAAGTAAACTCCTTCTATTTATGGCTCTATCCCTACCTTCTGGCAACTTGTCTGCTTCCCACAGGTGACCTGTTCAGATATAGCTAATGATGCTGAGTGACTCATTTCTAAGGTGCACAGCATTTTTTTTTTTCACAGGGCACAAATATTCAGAAAATGTTCCCCACCCACTTCAGGCAGAGTGAGAACAGAAAAAAAAAACCAGCAGTCAACTGACGACTGTATCAAGTCTTCTTTCTTTGGATTCTCTAGAGTAATTTCTTTCCTGTCCTATGGTTGGGCTGTGCAAAGTGTTGTCTGTGCAGACAACAGAGCTTATGATGACCAACACTGCAGCTCTGAAACAACTACACTCTGTGCCGAGGGGCTACCAAGCCAAAATCTGCCGTTTTTAGAAGGCAATGATCCACCACAGTCATAAGCAAAGGACATCCTATCCACTGGACATACTAAGCTATATACTTTGCAGACAAGTAGAGCTCTCTGCAAAAATAAGAAGTGTTTGAAATCTGCTCTATTTTCTGTTAGAAGTCACTTCTAGGATTTGGACAAGTTCTAATAACAGTTTTTGGATAGCTGCAGTCCAGACTTCTCACCCTACATGATTTAGGCTCATCATAACTGAATTTAATGTTTCTCATTTATTCTAGTTCCAGACTAAAGTTATTGTTATTAACCTCTTTGGTAGATATGGCAATATTTGTCTGTACTAAGAATACCAGTGACTTCCTTCTCAAAATCCTGATGTAAGGACAACTGACATTGAAAGCTCGGAGGATGTGAGAGAACAAAACGAGAAGAGAAGCACAAAACTCATCTTAGCACCTATACTTAGGTCACCAGATTTATGAAAGTTACTTATCTATATAACAAAAATACAGCCTCTAGTCATTCACAGCCTAAGAAAAGGTAAAAATGAAAACACATTTAACAGTGAACCACCTTCTAATTATAATGTATTATTTTCAGTAAATAGATTTGATCCTTTAAAAAGAAAAGAAAAGCTACAAATTTTAACTAAAGTACATTCAAGAAGTGAGATTTAAAGTAAATTTAATGTGAAACCCTCGTATTTTGAAGAGAACTTAAAAGCCATGTGGATCTTAGAGCCAAAACTAAAGCAGGTAACAGTAATACAAAGCTCCACATTAAAAAAAAAGTTGGTAACTGTTTTGAGAGTTTTGTGCTCTAAAATCTAAAGAAAAAAAGTCAGATTGTTGCATGGACATAAATAAATATATTTACGCATACGCATATATATACTTACACATTTACACACAGAAAGCTGCTGGGCTATAACAGCTGTTATCAGAGCTGGATTCCAGTGATATTGAATTTGCTAGGGTGTTAATTCAAATCCTTTGTAACTATACAAGACTGACCAGACTTACTAAGGAGCCACAAAAACATTAATAAATACATGGTGGGTGCTGCAGGCTCGTGGGCACAGCCTGTTCCAGAGTGGATCTCTGTTTAACAAAGCATGCCATGGGGAAGCAGGTCCTGTGCCTACCTTTCTCAAAGGCTTCAGTTTTGTCTCCATGATGAACTCATACTTGCACAGTTCACAGCATCGCGTATCCGAGCTCTTGATCCATTGCTGCAGGCAGGCCTGGTGCACAAAATGAAGACTTCCCGTACAGTGACAGGGGGTAATCAGAGGGCTCTCATCATCTCCTTCACAGTGACATATCCTGAATCAGAAGCAAAGCTGCTCATTAGGAGAAGAGGAAGCAGAAAGGATGTGGAAGAGCCATGTAATATCTGTGATCACGCATGGATGTTCACTGAGGATCCCGAGACATATAAATCAAAGGGATGTGTTCCACAAAGGAGCTAAAACTAAACAACTCAATTGCTGTGCAAGCACACACACAGGCACAAAATAATTAAGCACAGACTCAGCTAACTAGACAGCTGCTTTCTCACAGATGAGGCATACACATAGAGCCTGACAGAAATGCAGTACCTGAAAGAAAAAAATGGAGCAAGAAATGACATTTCACCCAGACCAATAGCACTTAACTGCAAATAGCATTTAAACAGATCAGACAGCACTTCCCAAGACAAAATATGCACAGAGAGGTACAGCTACTCATGTACTAAGGTCTGAAATAGAAGATAAAACAAAATTCCAATATCAATGGTGAAACAGTCCACCCCAGGATCATGTGCAACTAATTTAGACAGCCTGGATCTTACACAAGTGATTAATTCCAACACAAATTGCTAAGAGACAGATTCACAATGCAGAACTACAGCACTGAATCTGAACCCCAAAACACTCTAAATGGTTTTGCTTCCCCAACTCTTACTTAGCTAAGAAAGCATCAGCTCTGCAAAATTCCCTACCTACTTTCCTCACAGCCTAACTGTGCAAACAGCGAAGACATCTGATAAAGTGTTACTACCAGCTGCTGACATCTGATTTCCAGATTCAATTTATACACAACCCTTGGGTAGCATCAAGCTTTATGAAGTCCTTCTAACCATGTGGAAGAGGTCATTAATTGAAAGGGGGATGGTGAGGAGCTCAGGGACTGAATACAAGTTACTAAGCATATGTGAAGTATATTCTGGCCTGCTGCCATCCCTGTCTATTATTGAAATCTCTTACTGATGTGTAGCATCTTGCCTCTTGTGACCTTGCTGAGCGCTGGCAAGTGGAAATGAAGGCGTGGGTGGATTACAACAGCATCTTGTTGATGATAAATCAGTACAGACTTATCATCAGTCAGAACTAGATATGGTGGTAATGAGGGGGGAAATCAAATAATATTGGCAAGTAATAACAAAGCCAGCTTTAGGAAGTACTTTTAGGGAGGAGAAAGACTAGGATAATAAAATGCTAGATAGAGGGATTGGACATTTGCTCCTGAACTTGATGACTCTTGCTCCTCAACCACATTTTGGATGTAGGACGGGGCAGACCTGCAGACAAGTCACCATGAAGAGAGTTCAGATCTCATTGTTCCTACCACCAGTGCACATGATTAATCCTCTGTAGTTGGAATAAGGACACCCATCATTTTTGAACCTCACACGGACCTACCACTAACAGCCAGTGCTCAGATCCCCTTTGACCAAGACAACCAGGAAACCCGTAACAAATAAAGTGTGGTGGGACACAAACTGAAGGGGGAAAAACTTGAAAGCTATATTGATCTGCTCTCACAAGCAATTCTCAAGCAGTCTGTCTTCCTCCTGATTCCCACCCTCTGACCAAACCAGCAGTGCTGTCAGGACAACACATTGCTCATTAAAAGCTAAGACGTGTTCAGCTTGACCTTTATGATGTGTAGCTGAGTCTCTCATGGTGTTCTCAGTTTGGGCACTGATAAGAGACAAATACTATCTCAGAACACCAAAGCTGAAATAAATTTTAGAATTTATTTGACTCCAAAGGAAATTATTTTGCTTAGTAGCCTTGTTAAGTGCATCAGAGGGGTGCAAAGAGAAGGCTCCATGCTTCAAATCACATATACTGTATTAGCAAGGTGACAGGGTAAAAGAAGAGACAGAAAAAGCACAAAGGCAAGGGAAAGCAGAACAGTCACCACTGCACATGGGGGGAGTGGTTAAAAAGGTAGGTGGGTGGTTCTCTGGTAAACCAACCTGCAGGTATCCCCCGATGTGGACACAGGGGAGAGAGGGGGTAACTTTTCTGAGAGGGGGGAAGGGCAGTCAAGGTCACTGTCCTTCTCAACTGAACAGAGCGGTGCCCGCTGCTCTTTTGCTTTGAGTTTCACTGAGGTGCTGTCCTCAAAGACGTCATCATCTCCCATATCATCAGAGCAGAAGTCCGTGCTTTCCACCAGCATGCTGGAGGATTTGTCAGCTTGGAAGTGACTGGAATAGCTCTCCAGTTCATGAAATTTATGCAGGCTGCTGATGCTGGAGGTGTGGGAGAAGGAAAAAAGGTAACGCAACAGTTTTTTGCTCCTTGAGGAGTCATGGTCCACCTTGTCCTCCAGCAGGGGGATATGTACAGCGCTGTGGTTCTCTGCTCCTCCCGATGCACTTGAGTAGTTGGAAAAGGAAGGGATATAGGAGTGCTTAGAATTGCTAAAAGAAAGAGGCCTGAGATTCAGCGGTTTCCTCTCTTTAAGATGAAATTTGTTAATCCTTAAACACTGCTCTTGGTTCGGGGTCAGTTTGCCTTCTGAGCGTGTTCGCTCCACATAATCAAAGCACTCGCTGGTGCTCTGCGCCTTCTGGTCCACGTCATTGAGGGACTTGGAGAATTTCAGAGTGTGGGTGGGCTTTACATTCTTAGCAGACCTGAGTGCCTGGCCCCGATCCTGCCCACGGGAGTTTCTGTTTGCTGCATGTAACGTGTCCTGACAGATTACTGTCACAGTGACCCCTTGTGTCAGAGGGCTCTGGCAGTGCGGATTTTTCAAGACAACAGCAGACTGCACTGGACTGTGATGACAACACTCAGAAAACACTGCACTGGAACTGCATGCAGAACAGTGGAATAAAAGCACAGAAAGTAAAAAATAAAACAATTAAAAAAGAGAACATGTATAATTAAAAGTGAAGAAATGAGAATTACAGCTAGTGTGGGAATGGCAAACATAGCAGGGCCAAACAGTCAGTAGGATTTAACAAAGCAGTGTTAGACAGCAGTCGAGTCAAACAAATGGATGCTTCAAGTGGGAACCCCACATTGCTTACTTCCCCATAAACATGCTTTTTCAGTTTTGTTTTTCCTTCATTTGAACCTCGCCTGAGCCTCACTGCAGCCACGCAAATGTCACACTTTACCTGCAGATGTCCTGGTTGGATGGTGTAACAGAAGTCCGAGAGAAGCTATGAGGGGCAGAGACAGAGGTTGGACTTCCAGCCTGCAATGACATTAAAACAAACAAACAAACAAACAAAAAAACCCTAAAGTCAGGAGTCAGTATGCAGAGCAATCACCTTCAGGGTGAAACACAGCATATGGAGTCAGATATCACTCTACAGCAGATACTCAAGGGGTAGCTGCAAGAAAGTGACTTTACTCTTATATGCGAGAAAGGTCACATAGTCCCATCCCTGCAGAAGTAATGATCAGAACAGAAATGTTTTACCCCAAGGTCAAATGCAGACATCTCTGGAGTGGAACCTGCCAGCTGTCAAATATTGCACAGAACAATAGCTCAGGAAATGAGCAATGCTACAGTAATTAGAATAATTAGATGGAAGTGTGTGTATAAACTAGTTGGAATTTAGCTACCATGTAATAGCTAATCCCTCCTCTAACAATGATGGCAAGAGATTAGAGGCTTGGGGTTTTCTTCACAAAACAGAACTGTCAGTAATTCAGTAACTCGAACACAACCTGAGGACTTATATTCCTTACTACCATATGCACCATGAGCACCATCTGCCAACCCAGACCATCCCCTGAAGTGTTTTCTGTACTTTGTGAGGCCTTTCATCCTGCTCTTGAACAGGATCTTCCATCTACCTGGAGGAAAGATGTGGCAGCAGTCATATTTGTAAGTCACAACAAGAGCACAGTGATAAATAGCATACCTGAAGAATTAATAATTAACTGAACTAACTCAAAAACTTACAGTGAAGCTCTTGGCATATTTAACACTGAATAGACAAATCTAAAGCCAATGTGCTAAGAATGAGCATTGTTTCAGCTGTGACTCCACTGGCTGTTATTAAAGACCTTTTCTGCTGCTGTATCCTGCACATCACTTTGACAAACTGCTCAACTCTTCCTGGAGATTTTGGCGAGGAGGAGACCTGCATTAACAATCTCACTATAGAGAATCTTTAAACCTGGGTCTCCCATGCTCCACAGCTGCTGGACGGGCTGCACTGCTGACCCACTGCTGCCAAACACTGTTAGCACTTCAAAATTCAAACAAAGGTGTACAGCTCTTTTGATCTGCACAGCAAAGCCTGAAAGCCAGCAAAGAACAATGCAATCAGCAGAACAACAGAAATGTCATCTCCATACTGGGCTGCACAGAAACCACCACTGCCAGCAGAGACCTGGGTCAGGTAACTGCAGACAGCCAGACCGGGGAGACCTCAGGTGACAAAAGCTGTGCTGCCACCGAAGCACACTGTGCCCAGCCCTGTGCTTCAGCTTCAGACAGAGCTGCTCAGTCATCACTGCTTTGATCATGCTGCAACACACACTGTATCTGTCTTGGGGCTCATCAATTCTATTTAATTTATTAAAAACCCCTATTGTATATTTAAACAAGGCTGCCACAGGCTTTTATACTCTCATAGCAAAACTAAGGCTCCTTGTCACACATTATACTCTTGTTTCTTTGTGAGAGAAGATACATACACATGCTACTTTATAAACACAGATAAAATAATCATCTTCCTTGTCACAGAACTCGTCTTTTAAAGTTTTATTTCTCTAGTCAATAGCACTATAGACAGCAATGTATCTGCCCTCACATTAGGAGGCCTCAGGTGCACAAACACTGAAGAAACAAGTATTTAGTTACAGCTGGATCTGCAGGAATCAAAGGCAGGACTCAGCCACACGCCTCTTAACCCTTAGTAAGACACTGTAACTTATTTCCCATCTTACCCAAAGCTGGGTACATTTATAAAATAAAACCCAGTAGAACAGCTTTGGGCCAGAAAGTAAGCTGAACTATGTAACGACTGTGACAAAACAAATTAAAGATGAAGATCAATTACTGGCTTTAGCCTGGAAACTACAGTTCTTTGCATTTTACACCATTTGCACATGTTAATGATACAGGATTCTGATTATGTAGTGATATGAGTCCAGGTATTTGTTGGAAATCTGTCTCTTTGATGCTTAACCTTTACTAAAAAAGCAGGAACACCTGACTTCATATCCTTTTATAAGGGTTTGTGCAGTAACTTTTTTTTAACTCAAAGTCTGACAATTAAATGAAAGATCTGACACTAATTTACTGATAAACTGTTTCACTCTGCAAATGAAAATTAATATAACTTAAATAATGAAATAGTTTGAAAGGCATATTGAACATTCTTCTAAAAACAAAATATTAAACCAGTAAACCAGCATGTTGCATTCTGCTATGGACTCAGTAAATCTGTCTGAGGTTTTATGTTATGAGCAAATCACAAAAAGTAACCTGCTAAGAATGAATCCAATCTATCAGCTGCTTCAGTTTAGCAATGAATTTTTCTAAAAAGGACAGCAGAATATATGTGACAGTCTAATAGCAGATGACTAGAATCAATGATCCAAAATTTCCCTTCCAAAACCATGTTACTGGTTTCTTGATCCAATTGTCTGGTATCAACAGTGTTAAAAAATCTTGCCACTTGGGAAATCAAAAGGCTGGGACAAAAAAAAATGTGGAATTTAATTTACATTTCAAGCTTAGTATTTTGTTTCTAGATGCCAGTACTGTTCAGGGTGGCTTACAGAAACTCAGCATCTAAGGCACACTTCCTTTCCCCCCCATCTTTCTGCTTCAGAAAAAAAGCTATTTCTGTTTTCATACATAATGAAAGTGCAACCAAAATATGAACAGAAATTAACACACTTGGATAGGCATAACAAAAAGGAACAACAAATCACTGGAGGAAGTTATGCCCCACCCTTGGTTCAAACTAATGCAAGCTTTGGCTACCACCAAAAGCCATGGTTCAATGAGCCTCTAGTCACTCACTCTGTCCTCCTTCCATCCCATGCTTTTTGCTCCTGAAACTTCACAGAGCTGTGCTGCAACTCAGAGTAGGATAGTGAGGTGAGGTAAAATGAACCATTGCTTTAATGCCAGTCACTTCCCTAGGAATGCCAGTCAGTGACAGCAAGGAGTCTCTAACAGTGAAGCACAACTCCCTGACACGAGCACAGGTAAATGCAAAAGCTAAGTACCAAGTTCATCTGGATCTAAAAGCAGGGCTACACATCACTGCTGCTGGCCAGTCCTCCCAGCTCACCTGGGTCTACTGACTCAGACACAGCAGCTTTGAGGCAGAGAGGTGCCACAGAAAAGAAAAAATACAGGCAGCCTCGGGACAGAACAGGGCAAAGCAGAGGCGGTGATGGGTGAATGAAACAGGCGGATCCAGCTGTCTTGGAGCTCTGATGCTGCTCCCACACACGGCTCAGCTCTGAAGAGGTTGGGAAAATAAGCAGACAAAGCCTTCTACACTCTGCAGCCTCTGGCACACAGCACCCTTACTGCCCCAGCAGCAGCCTCCCAGGTAGCAGCATCTTTGTCTATTATGATGGCAACAGCAGCAGCAGGTTTTAGAGCACTCCTCACAGGAGTTTTCTGCCATGTTCATATGCGACATGTAGCCTAAAGCCTTGACAGCCTGAATTTGACCCTTCTAACCCCATGATCACTTGCTGAAACTCTGGACTGTCATGCCCTTCGCATGGAGGAACATCACCTCCAGTGACAAGCCTTGGAGCTTGTGAGTGCTTGTGAGTTACTCTGTACAGCCCAATTGGTTGCCCAAAATAGCTCAGTACTAAAGGTCAATAGTCAGTTAATTGTGTATATTGACTTTCCCATCTAATGCAATCACTGAGGTCACAGCACGGCCTTCTGGTATTCAGACAATCACAGCACTTTTGAAGGTAACAATTCCTGGGATTCCTACACTTCTCTGAAGGGTTGCCAGCAGGAACACAGACATTTTTGAATATGCCTATATGCAGCTGTCCATGCATATATACACATATATGTTCTCATTCTGCCTCCACATGAGCAGTGTTACCTACTGGTGAGAGAACTCAGCCTTTTCTTATTACATACTTTTGATTACATGCTGCACACCAAAACCCAAGAAAACCCCACCCTGCCTAAGAAAACAGAGGCATCTTAGAAATGAGCCTTAGTGAACATGCCAATGGCTTGAGTATATTTCAAGATAACCTGCTTATCTGAGATGACACTTCTTGGTATAGTTGCTGTTGTCCCACTCTGGGCTGAACTTCAGTAACAGCAATTACATCTCATTTTAAAGGACAGAGCCTGTCACATTCTAAAAGCTTTATCAAATTATTCATTGAAGGTAAAAAATGAGAAATAACTTCTGTAGAATTTTACAACTAATTGGAAGTCTAAAGGAAGCAAAGAAAGGTTTTTTCCCCCACACATGCAAGCTTTGTCATTTCTAGGCGCCACTTGATTAGGAACAATACTGTGCTACAAAAATATGGAGAAGTCTCAGCTAAGGAAATGGAACTAACATACTAAGAACTATGCACATTTAATAATAGAACACAACTCTCTTGTGTGCAGACAGAGAGTGAAAAGAAGCTCAATTTTAAGTCTTTTATTGGGAGGAACTTCAGAACAAGGAGCTTCAGGCTAATACAAATTTAGCAACAGAGCAAGGAGAGAAACACTCCACAAATCAAATTTCAACCTGGCCTTTTGTTTACAGGCTTGCCTTTATTTTATGTGCTCTTGAGTACTTCCAGCAAGTACTGTATTCCACGCAACGAGACCAAACTGTACAAACCTGACTCCTGAGGTAGGCAGAACAGGCCACCCATGGACAGACTGGGGGATGTGATGGGCAGACAGCCCTGCTGACAGGCTGGTTTTGAAAGCTTTTATACCAATGTGACAGGATCAACCATCAGCAACTTCTGATCTTCTCCAGTAAGTTCTCCCTACCAGATTCATGCCATATTGACTTCCAGTGCATATTAAAATCAAATGTCTTTAGAGAGGGATGAGATAAATTATTAAAATAGAGAGGTTAAAAAACTGGAGGGGAGATAAGGGAAAGAGGCATCTGAAAATTTCAGGACAATCAACCCCACCATGTAATTTTGGCAACAACTTGATAGGAACTAGCACTCAGCTGCTGGAAGAACTTTCTTCCATACTTTATATAATGTATATGACTATAATTAAAACTATGTCTAGCAACTACAAGCAAAGCTGAAGTCAGCTTCCCCATATTATTTCTAAAGAAATCCAAAGGAGGATTCTGTCAGGAATTTTCTCTAGAGATTCCAGAGCTAAAGATACTAGAGAAAGGAGGCTATCTATCCCTTCAACATCTTCCCAAGAACAATACAATCTGCCTATAGCACAGGATTAATGTTGAGTAAACCCAGTAACAACTGCACAGGTTCTGCAGGGAGAAGAAAAAAGTATATATGGCTTTTTGTCTTTAAAAATCTTCCTCAAAATACCTTGAATGGACTGAGGGAACAAAAGCGGAAAGGAAACCCCTGCAGCTTCCTCCTTAATGGGGTGCCCTCATACTATATGAAGAAAGAATCCAGCCCCAGGAGAGGGAATTTATCACAGCACAAGGAGACTATCACATTCCTTACTAACATGACTGTGCTCCAGCATGAGATTACTTGCTCTTGTATTTGGGGAAAGAGTATACTTTCATCTTCGCACTATACAATTTTTCATGTCTTTTCCTTTCACTTCCCCAGTAACTCAGTAGAAGTTTTTTTTTTTAAGCAACTTGTGTTTCACTACCCTCAGGCTCACGTACCTGAAAAGAACACCTCTGAGGAACAGTTCTTTTCAGTAAGCCTTGGTCATCTGATAGACTACAGGACAAGTAAGCTCTGCAACCGAAAAACCTGGACTACTTTTCTACAGACAAATGCTCACTGAATCCATTAAAGCTTCAGGCAACAGTGGACGTGTGTATTCATATGCTTTTCTAAATCTGTTCCAAGCTGATGAACAGCCTAAATGGATTTTAAATTTCATAGCAAGCTTAGGCAACCACTTTGTGTCTGCACTGGCTGCTATTCAGCCTAAGAACAATCTAATACTTTACAGTGTGCTTCTGCTCAAAAGATAAAACTATACAGGCCTTCAGAAAAGACAAAGCATTTACATTTTTTAAGGAGTTCACTTTTGATTTCTTTGCTGTGATCCCAGTATTAGCATTTTCAAAGTTAATCCCTTAGAGGGCCATGAAAATAAGACTACAAAGTGCTTCCCCTTTACATTAGATTCAACTCTCCAAAGCAATCAGGTGACAAGAACAGCACACAGATGACCTGAAGGTATTTCCAGACATCACATCATCAGTTTCAGGATATATAAGACACTTTAAAGGCAAACAATACCACTAATTTGAGAAGAACTGGTTAGAGACCAGCTTTGTAAGTGGCCTAATTTCATCTGCTTGTAAGTAAAATTCCTTTATCTATGAACTGAGGGCATGAATTACCACTACTGTGAAAATCCCACTCTTAGCTGCTCCCAGTGACTATCTGTGTGTTAGGGTCAATTTCTTTTATATTTAGAGGAAGAAGCTTCTATAAAGCTTAATTATTTCTCTATGGGGCTTGTATGATGAAGGCACTTCATAGCAATCTTGCTTGGAAAAATGCTGGCTTAGGGTAAACAGCTGAGATGTGGATCTGGGCTGTATTCCCTTGTGCCAACTGGGGTTGTTTCAATCAGCAGCAGTGCTGTTTATGTGTTTGAACAGGGCAAGTTGGGGAAAACGGGCTGTGTTCAAGTCCCATGACTAAATCAATTAAATCTGCCTTGAATGTTATTTTTTTTATTATTTCAAAACAAATAGAAAAGATTTCAGAAATTTAAATGTTTCAAGTGTAGCAGATTTCAAAGGAAATTTGAAATGTGTTTGAAATGTATATACAGAAAAAGCAAAGAAGGGCCTGGAGGAACGCCACATCCCCCAGTGTGCAACATACTGCACACAGCCTAATGGCACCACATGAAGATTGTCCTACATCTTATTCCCTGCTCCTTTTTCTGCTCTTTCTGGCCTTCATTCCTAGCCAAGTATACAGGTGATTGCTTTTTCTTGGCTTGGCCACATGTACCAGCATCTCTTCTGCCTCTCTTAGCATCTGCCTCTTGGAGAAGTGCCTTTTTGCCCCTTTCTCCCGAGGGACAGCTCCACCTGGCCCCAGCACTGGGGGTCTGTATTCAGAGAGGCTACCTCTACCAGCTGATTACATTTTCAGTAGCACCATCTGTCTGCCTCCCTCCCTGATCACTTCTAGCCCATGGGCATTGCTTTCCTTGGTCACAGTAAGTAACACAGCATCCTCTCTTGGCTAAAGGCTGAGTTCTGACTCAATCCTTTCCACTCAAATTGCACTCTGTGCAACTGAGAGCAGTGGAAAGATACACAGTAATAATCACAGCGGGTTCATAATGATATATCAGCACCAGTAAGGCTTTGAATCAAGTGCCATGCCAAGAATTTGTAGCAGATTTGCTATGTTGCTGTGCTGTAAGCTACATTTGGGTGGAAAAACAATGGCTGAAACAGTCAGTTCCAGAAAGCATGACCATTATTTCTGTACACACACACACTTCAACACATCTGGAAATGCTGTATGCAGTTGATTTAACCCAATTTTGGTTAAAAAGCTCCTCTTAAAATGGTGTAGGATCAACAAAGTTCTGTGGATTTCAGAATGGGCTATATAGGCAGCCAAGCATTTCCATACTTATTCCTTTTAGTGTATCCTATCTGCCTTATTGGCCAGGTTGCTATGGTATTCTGAAAAATAAAAAAAAAGGGCACTTTCCTATTAACACTCACAACTAAAGAAAAATTTTCCATGTACTTAAGCTTCCACGCACCATTCCACTACTACAAATCTTTCCTGATTTGTCATTTGAAATTGCTTGCAACAGCAATTTCAAAATGTTCCAAAACACCTGTCAACCACAAAATAATTGTTGTAGTTTAGCTCTGAACTGCCTGGATGCACAAGGCAGCATTCAGACACATAGGCAAATCAGGGGCATTTCACTGATGGGACTTTCACCCTCTGCCCTTGTTTGAACTTATCTCCAGAGTGGAGAAAGTGCACAGAATGGATCAGACAGAGGTGACACAGGAGCACTAAGAACATCAACACCTCTGGGAAACTCACTTTGCAACCAAAAAGTCTCCCCCATTAAACTAGCAAGACTGATTTTTGATTCCCTCAAGAACTTGAGCTTTTGTAACACAAAGCAGTCACGTTGAGCATTCCAGCACTTCAAAATGAATGTAAATATTGATGTCTCACTTGCCAGCACTTCCAGGAAGAGCTTTGCCAGAGTGCAAGGTCCTTCCCACTGCACTGCCACACTATCAGTTCTTGATGAATTAAAATGAACTGTACAGATTCACATGGGTACCAAAGCGCAGCTGCCAAAATTTGTGCTGATTTGAGACACTGAGAAAAGTACAATGATACTTAATCTCTGTTGAACAAGACCAAAAATCCAATTAAGGATCCCTAAGGAGATAAGAACCAGGGTGAAAAGGAAGCATACTCCTATTTTAGAAAAACTCATATGACAATTTATACTCAAACAGTGTTTATTTTAAAACCCCTTATACGAATGCACATTTTCTGATGCCAAATGCAAAATGATCTCTTATCAATCCATGATAACAATACCTACAGCTTGGTCAATACCTTGTGCACTAGGCAGTTGCCCTTCTCACTCTTTAGGACACCCAGTAATCCTGTCTTTTGGCACCGAAGTGAAAGATGTCTGTGCCCATATAAACCGTATATTATATGTGCACTCATTGTCTCCTCTGCTGGAGATAGTCATGAACAGTTCCCTAGATACCAAAGTATTCACAATACTTATTAGGTTGCAGCCATAATGACTCAGTCTTTCAATAAAAGTAAGTACAAGCAGCCACTTAAACTGTGGCAACAAAGAGTTGAAGCTTATGCACCCCATGAAAAGTACTGTTCAACCAGCACAGCCTTGCTTGCATGAAGGCTTTAAGCAATTGTACTTGTGTAAGCAAGACACTGTCAGGCTTACAGATAATCAACAATCTTATTTACAATTCAGGAGTAGGGTATGTATTGCAATAGTTATCTTGGACAGAAGATAATTTTTTTCCTAATGGCATAACAAAGCAATTATGCTTTGGATATGCTGAAGAGTGACTAGAACTCTTCAGGGTGGAGCATAATGCTTGCCTGACATGACCAGGGTCTGCAAAATCAAACATTTAAAAATACTTACATAGTCACGTCCTGAAAACAAGCTCATGGCACTTAAAAATAATTTGGTGTTGAAGTAACAACAGAATAACATGTAACCACATATCCTACATAAATCATGGGATGCATGACTATACATATCTTGCACAGCTTTATCTTATAAAACAACACACTTGAGTGATGTTTTTGGAGCCACTTTCCCTCTAAGATAAGATCTCAGGTATCTGTCATCTATCTTGCTCCTATCAAGCTAAGGAGGCCGACAGTGTGAAAGAGAAAACCTACCGTAGCTTCCATTTCATTTGACCTGTAAAGAGAGTCTGCAAAACACCAGAGCTCTAATGTTTCAGGAGTGACTATCAATGACAGGCATAAAAAGCATTTTCTACTGGTCACATCATCACACGTATCACCCAATTTTGAAATGAAAGAAATCCCAGTATCCCCAAATTTATCAAAGACTGAGTTACAAGGAGCAACATACCTTTGAGATGTTACTAGAGCGGCTCACGGAATGCCCCAAAGCCTTCTCATTCTGAAAGAGCAAGAACAGGATCACTGCAGCAGCAATTCACAGTTATGAAAACATTTAAAATTTGGCATTAGAAACCAAATTCCACAAAGTCCTACAGCTAGGGCCTTTAAGGATGTTGCTTCTATTGACATCAGCCTGATTTACAATAATTACTTAATTGCTTTGTTTGTTGACCAAGATATTAACTTGCAGAAAATCACATAGGCAACACATGTACAAACTGACAAATACTAAAACAATTATTTCTTCTCTCTGAGGGTAATGTAACTTTACTCAGATGGCATCTGTTTTGCAAAGGATACTTCTCAGTATCATGAAGACCTGCTTCATCTACATTTCAAGGCAATATCCAACCACTAAAGCTAAAAGCTCTTGCTTAATGACAAACAAAAATAACATAGTGATGTCCGGAAGCAATTGTGAATAACCACATGCATGTCACTTCAGGATACAGGGGAAAAGTATTCAGGAAATTCCTTTTAATACAGAACTTGGAATTAAACTAGAAATATCATGCAAGATAGAAATGTAGAAGCTGCAATTCTCAAAACTGAAATTAGTGATGATTGTATCTGTTATTCACTTTTTAGTGTGCAGATCCTGACGCATAAGGATAACAAGGATGTAAAGGCTCCCAGAAGGCATCTTTTTGCTTGGGATTTTAGGAAACAAACTCTTTCACATTTATTCCTGAAGAAAATTTAACCTAACAGAGACACTTTGATTGACAGCACCTTCTTCTATTCTTCTAGGCAGTGACTGATCAGACAGAAATTGAGATTGGAAGTCCTACACCTATAACAAATAGGGACATGAAAAATGCCCCATCAGTCAACTGCTATTAGCCCTAGATCAGCACACTGGTCTCAGACTTCTTGCCTATGGTTTGCTACAATTCAAATTATCCTTCAATGACTAAAGCCCATATGAAGTCAGCCTGGTTGGCTGAGCATTCAGATACTACACTTATACTTTTGACATCCCTGTGCTCCCAGATCCTTCTTCCTATAGTGCATCCTCCACAGCAACTTCAAAGCTTTTTGGTGAGAAAAGAGAAGTCAAGGCATAAAACTTTAGCATGTGCTTACAAAAGCAGGGTGTTCCTTCCTTACACCATCAGCTGCCTCTCAACCACGTCCTGGGCACTATGTCAGTTGACAATAAAAATTGTATTTCCTTCATTAAAAACACGAGGAAACAAATACAGTGTTCTGAAATTTCCTGAAGGAATCCAAGTATCTAGAAGACAGTAAAATAGTATTTCTGAAGAAAAGGGGAAAAGTTGTTAGGGAACACCACATGCTAGCTTTGACTGATGGCCAAAATAAAAATCAGCAAGTATAAGCATGCCAGATTTATACACTGCAAGGCTGAGTTTGATTTTTAAGATAACTATGAGCTTTTGTTACACAGCTAACAGTATTCCTGGAACAGAAACAAACACACAAAGGACCCTCAAAAATATGGACATAATGCTTATGCAAAGACTAATGTTGGACAGGAGTACTGCCAGAACCTGTAGAGCTAAAAACTGGCTCCAATCATAAGGGAGAGCCTAGCTGATTTCATCAAAGGCAGTGTAACCATAGCAACAGGGCAAAAAAAAAGTTCATTCAAGCTACAGGAGACAGGAGGAAGAAAAAAGGGGGCAGGAACATGTTCTCAAGCTATGACGAAAAGAGACCAACACAAGTTGGCAAGCACAAAGACTTGCCACTGCATTTGTGAGAGGTGTGGGGGAAGCAGGCTGTGCTTGGCCTTCTAGGGATGTGTGGGAAGCAAACAGTGAGGCTACATGTGACAAGGGAAAATGACAGTGGAGAGTGAAACCCTTGGGTGAGAAATCTCCCTGAAGCAAGAACAGGTGACAGTCTCAAATCCAGCCTGAGGTGTCAAAGACAAGGATGAAATTAAACAGAGCAGAGGTTGCTTCAGGTTAACTCAGTGTCCCCCAAAAACTCCTGTGTAGCTGAAGAAGATGTTTGCAAGGGAACATGACTCAACTTACACAAGCACCTGTGTTGAAAGGGATGTGCTAAAATTCAATAAGCATGACAGGCTGGAAGACAAGACCTGTATTTGCACAACACAGTAGATGATGCAGAGTAAACAGACTTTTAGCTGCTGCCACAGAAACTTGTCTTTCTGCCTCTGCTCCCAGAACTGATTTTATCTGATAGATGCCAGGAACCTCCAAGAGACAGATGCACATATTATCTTTATTCATCTACTGTTGGAAACATACCCATCAGAGGTTTCAGATAGCAGATGACTGCGAACAACTAGTTCTATTATTGAAAAAGTGACCATTTTAAAACCAAAAATCAGTCTTGAAAAGTATTCCCTTAAGGGCTACAGAGTGCATGCACACATATATTTAGGAATCTGTGATATTCCTAATGGACTCCTAAGCACCTAAGTGCTTTTAACATCTCTGTTTCTTAGCCACACAAAGCAGGTACATCCATAACAACAACAGGAAATTCACTACAGTAGATTTAATAGCAGGCACAATTAATGAGGAACAGAAACATTAAACAGCTAAAAATTATTTAAAACGCAAACAAACAAATCTCACTTTTCACTCTATATCCATCACCAGGACATTAATCCTAGGATCTTTTAGAATTATTCACAAATTACCAGTGATATGGGAGTGGCAAGGCTAAGCTTTCATGGTACTATCACTCTCAACAAATAAAAACCTTCAGAAACTATTTCTAGTATGTTCCCATGGGACAGTAAAACATATTCTGGTTGGTAATCACAGCTCCAAACAAGCTCCCCTTCCCTCATGCAGAAGCATGAGGCTTTGCACTTGAATGAAAGATCAAGACAAAAACAACATCTGCAAGCAAGGATCCTACAATTATCACCAGTTAAAGTGAGTGTCACTCTCTTTTAGCAATTCAGTCTTTCTATATGGAATAATGGCAATCCTGCCTTTTGAAGTAATCCTCCTTAACCAAAACCACCTGGCAGATGCTTAACAAACAAACAAACCCCACCTAGATAGGAAAAAATTATAAGTGCATCTTGTCACTTCTCCTGAGCCACTCACTGGCAGTTGCTCCTCTGAGGTTCCCAACAGCTACTGTGGCTCTAGAAAAATGTCTCAAAACCAGAAAATTGCTACCCAGTCCTCTGGATGCACTTGCTTGCAATTGCCAGAATCCTCCTCCCAGCTTCCCTTTCTTTTTCTGTCTTCCTCTTGAATTTGCTCCCAGCTGTGAGTGACAGAGCTGCCTTCTTTCTTCAGCAGTTGCTTCAGCTCACAACTGCCTTTCTTCAGGACTCTACACTTTGCCTTCTCCTGTCTTGCCTGGCTCATTTTCCCTTCTGCCACCATTCCTCAGTTGCATGACATCTCTCAAGGCCTTTTCAGTTCAGGTATCTAGAAGATGATAACTCCCTTCTGTCCTTCCTTTTACCTCAGTCTTTCATATATTCAGCATTTCAATTTACTTTACCCTTGTTTCCCTACCCTAATATATGCATTTTCCACTAAGCACAACAGCTACATAACTCACACAGCCAAACCTAGAATTCCTGTGAACCCCAATACATCAGCTTCTACCAAGCCAGCCAGAGCAGCCACAGCTGCTCTGGTCCACTTAAAATACCATTGTATCAAACTGACCTTTCCCCAAACTTAGCTGTAGACTTACTGCAGCATCAGAAAGCAGGCACCCTAAAGAAATAAAACTTAAATATCTTGGCCAGATGAAAGGTAAAAAAATATATCAGTAAAATAATTTGGCTTTGTATTTCCAGCACTCTGGTTTCCAGTCAAGGCAGGTAAATAGAAGATGACAGAGGAAGCAGTTTCATAGCTTGTGCAACTGCCTTCTGGTTACAACTGTGACTATACACCTGAATTCAGTCCTAAGAATGATTAATGCTAAACCCATCTTTATCTCTGCTCATAGACCTGCAGAAGAAACTGCAAGCCAGATCCCAACAGGTTAGCAAGATGACTTTTATTCCCTCTCCACCCGGGAAAGGAGGACAGAAGGCACCAGAGGATGTTGCTCCTTTGTCCTCAAGACACCAATGGCTACATGTGAACCCAGCACAGGCTTGCTTCCTGAAGTCTTAATTCTTTAACACACAGTGAACTGATAGGGCACTATAGTCCCCATTTTGCAATACAATTTCTGTTTTACTTTATCTTACATGACAAAATGGATTAAGAGCTTCATCTGAAGATCAGCGTTCTCCATCTAAAAATCTCAGGAACAAAGAGCAGAGACTTTATTTTGAGGACAGTGTTGCTGCAAGGCCACAGAGAGAAATCCCTACAAGGCAAGGACTAACGTCTCAGCCCAAAAGAGACACAAAAAATCCAAGTCAGACTGGCTAGAGCACTGCCTACTTGTGGTTTTCTACGTGGACTCTGAAAGGCATTTTGATATCATTTTGTGCATTACAATTGCATTTTACAATGACAGATTAAGCATGAGATTGATATCTAGCAAAATCACTTGCTGTTATCAACAATTCATGTCAATGAACTTTAACAATGTCTTCTGGGGAAATGGTTGCTTTTCTTAATAAAAAACTTGGCAGAAGAGAATGAACAAGTAACAACTGCTCTGATTCATACAGCAATCCTCATTCTTAGATCTGATGAGAATTAGAGAGTGGAACAGAGAATGGGACTGCTTGAAATGGTGAGGTGCTGAAGTACTGAGTAGCTGATCCATGCAGGGAAAAAGCAGCAAATCAGAAGTGAAACTCCATTCTTCCACTGAGTCCTATGACCAGAGCATGAATGCATCACTGTTCTACAAACATGCAGTCACACACCCCCAGGTATTGTTTCAGGTTTCATGACTGTGTCAAATTTCTTGACAACTTCTTCCAAGAATTTCTGCAAATGTTGCTCTGAAACCCTATACCTGAACAATATATATTAAAAAGAACAGATACTTTTAGTCTGAGGAGAGGAATTGCTGCTGATAGTATTGCCAAGAGCACTTAATTGTCAGAAGTAGATA